GTGGTTCTCACACTCACTAGTCCTCTGCCTCCGTCCTTGCGGCTCGTGTACAGTCTCAGGGTGCTGTATTTGGGATGGAACCCTCCATGCATGGTTAGTAGTTTTCTGGTCTTAATATCTGTGGATTTTATCTCCTCCTTTGGCCAGCTGATTATTCCAGCAGGGTATCTGATTACTGGCAGGGCATAGCTGTTTATCGCACGGATTTTGTTCTTGCCATTGAGCTGGCTTCTCAGGACTTGCCTTATTCGTTGGAGGTATTTAGCTGTGGCTCCTTTTCTTTGTGGCCTCATCGAGGTTGCCATTTACTTGTGGTATACCTAGGTACTTGTAACTGTCCTCTATGTCTGCTATATATATATATATATATATATATATATATATATATATATATATATATATATATATATATATATATATATATATATATATATATATATATATATATATATATATATATATATATATATATATATATAGGAGGAGATAAAAGCCACAGATATTAAGACTAGAAAGCTACTAACAATGCATGGAGGGTTCCACCCCAAATCCAGCACCCTGAGACTGTACACGAGCCGCAAGGAAGGAGGCAGAGGACTAGTGAGTGTGAGAACCACTGTCCAGGACGAAACAACTAAGATCCATAAATACATCAGGGACAAAGCCTCAACAGACAATGTGCTCAGTGAATGTCTCAGACAACAGGGAACGGAGGTTGAGGTGCCAGAGATACCATCATGGGAGGACAAGCCCCTACATGGGATGTACCACCAGCAAATAACCCAAGTGGCTGATATCAGTAAATCCTACCAATGGCTGGAAAAAGCTGGACTCAAGGACAGCACAGAGGCCCTCATCCTGGCCGCCCAGGAACAGGCCCTAAACACCAGAGCAATAGAGGCCCAGATCTACCACACCAGACAAGACCCAAGGTGTAGGTTGTGCAAGGAGGCCCCTGAGACAATCCAGCACATCACAGCAGGTGCAAGATACTGGCAGGGAAAGCGTACATGGAGCGACATAACCAAGTGGCAGGCATAGTGTACAGAAACATCTGTGCAGAATATGGACTGGAAACCCTGAGATCAAAGTGGGAAACACCCCCAAAGGTGGTGGAGAACGCCAGAGCTAAGATCCTGTGGGACTTCCAGATCCAGACAGACAAAATGGTAATGGTGAACCAACCAGACATTGTCGTAGTGGATAAACAACAGAGGAAAGCCGTTGTGGTAGATGTAGCAATACCAAGTGATTGCAACATCAGGAAAAAGGAGCATGAGAACCTGGAGAAATACCAGGGCCTCAGGGAAGAACTGGAGAAGGCCTGGAAGGTGAAGACCACAGTGGTGCCTGTGGTCATCGGGGCCCTCGGGCAGTAACCCCCAAACTGGAGCAGTGGCTACAACAGATCCCAGGAACAACATCAGACATCTCAGTCCAGAAATGTGCAGTCCTTGGCACAGCCAAGATACTGCAGGACCCTCTGGTAGAGGACCCGAGCTCAGAGGATAAGAACCACCCGCGGTGGGTGAGAAGGGAATTTATATATATATATATATATATATATATATATATATATATATATATATATATATATATATATATAGTATGTACATAGACCTATATATGTGTTTAATTCATACATAGTTATTTATGAACTAAAATTACATAATTCATTTATAATTTTTTATTTAAATAAATACTGAAAAGTCAAATATGTGACAGAAACAAACCCACAGAAATTTAATCTAAAAACTTTCTACAAATAACTTAAAAATGTGTGAATTTCAGAAGAAAACATTTTTACTTTGGACATTTTCTGTGTTTCAAAAGTGGAAACTTAGCTTGAAAAATTGTTGAATTTGAGATTTATTTCATGAACTTTCTGGGGAAAAAATGAGCAGATTTCAGAGTTTCAGAAGTCTGATTTAATTGTAAAATAATGAGTGATTAATAAAAATGGATGAACATCACTTAGTAGTTTTCTTCCAATTCATAAAAAAGTCCAGATGAATCCACCAAAGTTTAGGGTTGTGATATAACAAAGTGTGAATATTCTAAGGTATTTTACTCTGTTGGCTGTTTCAATCCAACACTTAATAATTCATATCAGTTTATTGTTTTCTGTGCTAAAGCTGCAGTAACACATCAGTGTCTGTTTTACCTCCAGCTGATGTTTGGAAAAGCAAACAGAGATGAGAAGCCATATTGATTTTCACAACATATTATTTCATCTTTTATTTATTCATAATTTTTATTTCTCCTGAAAACAGATTCATCCAGTCCTCTCAACACATTTTCAACATAATAATAATAATAATAATTTAACCCAAAATGAACTGAATCTGGTGAATGTGCATCTTATGGTCCGTCGTTTTCAGGGCTTCCAGAAATGTGATTTAAATCAAACTTTTCCTGCAAATCCATCCAATCTGCCAATAACTTTTTCCCACATGAACACATTAATCAACAAGCACATAAAAAACCCATTAAAATCAATATTTGCTGTTTATGTAATATCAATGTGACCCGGTTCTGCTGCTTCGGCGTTATTGTTGTAGCTACAACATGTAGACACCGCAGACCAGCACTTTTATTTTTATGCAAATGAAGCGTTTTTAGTCTTGCTTATTATTTTTACTCTGGCACAGAGAAACATGGGAGCAACGGCAGAGAGACGGAGAGAAAACAGACATTTTAATGGCTTTACATCTCTGCAGGTTTCAGTCCAGTTGCTTCAGGTTTGCTTTTTTTCCACAATGTCACAAAAGATCCTTTCACAATAGTTCCCATCATCCAGAAAAAAACTGTTTTTGATGGATAAATTATTTTTTTTATGTTAGTCTGTTGTAGGTCCCTCCTTTCTTCTGAAAGATGCATGCTTCAGTCTTTAAGATGGCTTTTCTGCATGTTTCCAAACAAATCGGCCAAATAAAATAACCTGTTATCATCCGAACCTCTTTGGAAGATGAAGATTTTAAATCTAAATGTGTCAACAAAGATACAGTTTCCATAATTCAATTCATAAACTCATAGTAATATATTTTTGGTATTTATAATTATGGGTTACAGTTAAAGAAAACCCCAAAACTCCCTTCTCCAATAGATATAAATATGATATAAGACAAATAAAGAGTGATTTTTTTTTTAAAAAAATGCTTTGTTATGGCCGATGGACAGTTCACTGCAAAAACACAAAATCTTCAAATAAAACAAAAATAACTAACAAGCAGATTTTTAACAAGATGTAGCTTATTAGCTTATTTTAATTAAATAATTACAGGGTAAAATTGTTCCATTTGCAGATGTATTCATTCAGATCATGGAAATATAAATTATAAATTCGAACCATTGAAATAATAGTTTTATTTTGTATTTTTCAATATAAAAAGAATTACTGTCAAGCTCATATCTTGCTGCAAAGTTACTTTTCAGCAATATTTTTCTTATTGAATTAGAAACTAGACAGAAAATATTCTGCAGCATTTTTGCAGTGTCCTCAGATGTGTTATCTTTCTTTCAATGAATCTTTCAGGTTCTGAAGGAAGAGTAGAAAATTAAACTTCCTAAAGGTCGATAGTCTGTGATGATTTGTGGCGCCGTTTCGGGTCCAGCGGGTTTCATCAAGCCCAAAGTCAGCAGCACAGCCAGGAAGTTTAAGATCTTCATCCTCCCCTCTGCTGACAAACTGTATCTAGACGCCAGAACTTGGTGCCGGTCCAAAACGGCACCAAATCTGCTGCAATGATCACAAAGATACTGGGATCAATACGACAGATCACTGGGTTAGCTTAGAGCTAGCTGCTGCAACCTAGCGGTGCGATCATTACGGCAGATCACCGGGTTAGCTTAGAGCTAGCTGCTGCAAGCTAGCTGTGTGATCTTTAAAGCAGATCACCAGGTTAGCTTAGAGCTAGCTGCTTCAAGCTAGCTGTGTAATCATTACGGCAGATCACCGGGTTAGCTTAGAGCTAGCTGCTTCAAGCTAGCTGTGTAATCATTACGGCAGATCACCGGGTTAGCTTAGAGCTAGCTGCTGCAAGCTAGCTGTGTAATCATTACGGCAGATCACCGGGTTAGCTTAGAGCTAGCTGCTGCAAGCTAGCTGTGTAATCATTACGGCAGATCACCGGGTTAGCTTAGAGCTAGCTGCTTCAAGCTAGCTGTGTAATCATTAAGGCAGATCACCGGGTTAGCTTAGAGCTAGCTGCTGCAAACTAATCGTGTGATCATTACAGGAGATCACACAGTTAGCTTAAAGCTAGCTGTTAAATATTTAGTTTGAAGCTAAATATTTAGCAAGCTAAATATGTAGTTAGCTATAATGTTAAAAGCCTTAAGCTTCCATCTGAATAATTAGTAGTCAGTGAAAAGCTAAATATTTAGCCTGATAAACTAATAGTATTAAGAGAACAAAGTCATAATATTAAGACTTTATTGTCATAATAATTTTTAAATGGATTTGTTTAGTGTGTCCTTGATGCTGCGGCTTCGGCTCCACAAAGAGGATTTGCGTTTGAGGTTTTCTTTGACTCTCAGTCAGAATCATCAGAACTAAGAAAAATAAATACTGGAAAAGTTTAAACTATATTTAATCTCAAAGCGCTGCAGAAACTCTTACTGCAATAAATCTGTTTCACATACATGATGTGCACCATGACAACTGTTGATAGAAAAAAGTTCATTACCACCCCAAAAATATCTGAAATTTTCTGATTAATTTTGAAAAGTTTGAGTGTGAAAAGTCAAACAGACTTTTGGGAATTTTTGTGTTTCAGAAGTGGAATATTTGCAAGAAAAAAATTCAAATTTTGAATTTAATGTCAGAAATTTTCTAGAAAATAAAACTGATTTTTTAAAATTTTTTTAATTTTTTGTTTCAATTTGAAAATGTCAAACTTTTCAAACTCAGAAAATAAAAAAAAAGTAAATAATAACATTACCCTGATTAATATTGTTGATATTAATCAGGATATCAAAGCTTAATATTCTGATGAGTTATTTGGCAGAAATGTACTGATTTTTTTTGCCATCATGTCTCCTAGTGATCAATGACTCAAGTCAAACATCTGCTGGAAGAAATTATGAAATTTGATTTCTGAAGTCAACAAAAATCTTATAGAAAATTTAGTTAATCTCAAAATTTACAAGTTTTTATTTTTTTCTTGCAATTTTTCAACTTTTCAGACATTTCCATGTTTCTTTTAGATTTTGGAGACGAATCTAAAAGGTTCTGAGTTGTTTGGTGCAGATTTACTCCTATAATCCCTAATATTCCATGAATTGAATTACAGAAGCTGTAATCTACTGAAACATAGTTTCTGTGTCCCTAAAAGCTCCGTCTGCACTTCATGAGCTTCTGGAAAGCCTGCTTGAAGTCGTCATTGAACGCCGTGTAGATGACGGGGTTGATGAGCGAGTTCAGGTATCCCAGCCAGGTGAAGAGGTCGAACAGAACCGGACTGAACCAGCAGGTGGTGCAGATGGCGTTGACCAGCGTGCTGACGAAGAACGGCAGCCAGCAGACGATGAAGGCGCCCAGGATGATGCCCAGCGTCTTGGTCGCTTTGCGCTCCCGCGCCGCGCACAGGCGCTTCCTCTCCAGCACGCTGTCCGCCAGCTTCACCTTCACGCTGTTCATGAACACAGGCGAGCCTCCGCCTCCACCTGTGTTCCCGGCGTGCAGGTGCGCGTCCTGGTGGGAGGCAGAGTTCAGGGAGCAGAGCGAAGACCCCGCGGAGGTCTGGATGAGCTGCGCCGTGGTGAAGCGCTTCCCGGAAGCAGGCGTCTTGAAGATGCGTGAGCGCGCCGCAACGTAGATCCTCCCGTAGAGGATGACGAGAAGCACAGTGGGAACGTAGAAGGCACCGAAGGTGGAGTACAGGGTGTAGGAGATCTTCTCCGTGTTCACCACGCACTCCGTCAGCTCGCCCTGCGCTGTGGCCTGCCGCCAGAAGAGCGGCGGCATGGAGATGGAAATGGAGATCACCCAAACGACCGCCACCATCATGGCCGCCCTGCGCATCGTGCGGTGCTTGGAGTACTCCAGCGCGTCCGTGATGGCCCAGTAGCGGTCCAGCGCGATGACGCACAGGTGCAAGATGGAGGCGGTGCAGAAGGTGATGTCAGAGGAGAGCCAGATGTCGCAAACGATCTGACCGAGCGACCACGTTTTGGTGACGGTGTAGACGATGCTGATCGGCATCACCAGGATGGACACCAGCAGGTCCGTGATGGCCAGAGACCCGATCAGGAAGTTGGCCGGCGTGTGGAGCTTCCTGGTCAGGAAGATGGTGGCTATGACGAAGGCGTTGGAGAGCGCGGTTACCAAGGTAACGACGCCTAGCAGCGCGTAGAGGGAGACCTGCAGGCTGAGCAGCGTGGCCTCGGTCCACGGCGCCGCGGTCGCGTTGCTTTCCGTGACGTTTTCCATGATTTCAGTTCATAACGAGATCCGGAGGAGAACCGAATGATATTTAGAAAAGAACCGGTTCAGAACACATCACATCTGTCAGCATCTCGAATCATAAATACTTTCTCCACATCGACCGGAAGTTATCGCGATAAGCGTAATATCGTTGTTTTGACGTCATTTTCAAGTAACGGCATAATAATCTAAAATAAATAATAAACATCGTTATCTAATGAACATTTAACACTGGAACAGGAAGACATTTTAAATATCCAAAATAAATACATAAAAATATCAAAATCATCCAAATTTATTGACTCTTATACTTTAGATAATATTTGTTTTATATTTACTGTTTGTTCTGATTGTATTTGTGGACTAAATGTATCTAATTACATCATTTTAAAATTGTTTACTTTAACTTTTAAACCAACATATTCGATCCACTTCTTATTCATCTTCAAACTTGTTGACTATCTGATTTGTTTATTATGTCTTTAAACTCTAATATCGCTGAAATGTGCAACACAAAGCAACTTGATTGACTGTTTGATTAATAAAAATGTTAATTATTGTGTATTTTCCCAACCAAATCAATTAGTACATTTCAAAATTTCCGTTTGGCTTCATCATTGAGGTTAAATCCTAATCCATCAGGTCGTTACATGGTCATAATTTCCTAATTATGAGCCATAAATCTGTTTCTCCTCTTCAACAAAACACAGAATTGGATGTAGGAAGATGATGACACCTCGTTTCACTTTTATCTTTTTTTTTTTCCTGATTTTAGGTCCATATATTAGACTTTTTCTACGACGCTTTGAAGACAAAAACATCAGAGTTGCATGATTAATGTGAGAAGTGTTTCGGTTACAGAGTCTCTTCAGCGTCCGCTGGGATTCTGGGCCATTATGCAAAACTTCGCTGGAACGAGATGATAAAAAAAGGTTTTCTTTCAGTTTCCCAGAGTAAAATGTTTGTCCATTAATTTCTCCTCTTCACTGCACTGATTATCCGGGAAAGTTTCAGCCGTGGCGTCCGTTGGGATTTACAGTGACTTTAATCCAGCGATGCATTAATCTTCTATATGAAACAAGCAGAAAAAATGATATTAGACATTGTTTCCTTTTCATATTGTGTGTGTATTTCTGTGAATGCACACAGAAATAAACCGAATACAGAAGAATTTGTTAGTTGACAAGTAAAATAAACGGCATTTTTAGATCAATAAAAATTGATTTGTCAATAAATCTATTTATTGTCCAAATAAATAAACTGGCAGAAACAAAGTCAGAAACTTGCAAAGAAAAAAACTGAAATTTTCAGAATAAAAACTCAAAAAAATTGTGAGTTCAATTCTGAGTTTAAAAAGTCAGACATTTGCAAGATTTTTTTTATTTTGATATTAATCTCTGAAATATTTTTTATTTTACATTTTTAGAACAATCTGAGAAATGTTTAGAAAAATCTTGGAAATTTGTTCATTTTTAATATCAAATTATGTAAGAACAATTTTTGAGGTAAATGTCAGAAATAATTTAGAAAAAAACATGAACATTTCTCAGTTTGAAAATGTAAAAATTACCATTAAACTTTTTGTAGAAATTTTCAAAACAATCTCAGATTTTTTGTTTTAGAAAAAAACGAATGAATTTCTGAGTTTGAAATCTCAAATATGCGGGGAAAAAAAATTTGAGAAAAAAATGTTATATTTAGCAGCTCAAACTCACAAAATGAATGTGTTTAATTACATTAGTAGAAGAACAACACCCAAAAAACACAAATAATCTTTTTTAGTCCACTTTAGTTTAATGCAAATTCGTCTTTAAATTAGACAAAACTAACTTATAAGTAATTTTTCAGAAAGAAATAGGAGCTTCTTTTAGTCAATGATTCACTAATAATAGGAAAAACATACTGATTACTTTGGCAGATTATTTCACTTATAACAGGACATTTTTATTATTTTATAGGCAAAATAATCAACAGTGGAACTAAAACTTTTTCATCAATATTAAAGAATTATTGACTGAAAACAAGCTCCCATAACCTGCTTGGTAATTAATTTAGTCTGATTTCAAGATATTTGCACTAGAAACTAAACCAAAAATACTCGGTAAGGTTTTGTATTTTTGAATAGTAAACGAAGCAGCAGGTAAGAAAAACCAGCCACTGGAGGAGCACGAGTTCCACTGGGGTGGCAACGGCGCAGTGCTCTTGCAGTGCGACTCAGCATGTTGCAAGTGAAACAATCTGCCAGTGGAATCAGTCAGTTCTTCATCAATATTAAGGAATTATTGATTTAAAACAAGCTCCTATGTTTTGGTGAAAAGTTTCCTGTAAGTTAGTTACAGGAAAAATAGTTGGTAAGATTTAGTGTTTCTGCAGTGTAGATGTAGAAATCATAAACTCAAAGCCTCCTCAGACCATAAATAAAGAAAAGACTCTGTCCTGCTCCCAGTTTGCTCCGTGGCATTTAAATGGCTGCTGGTTGTCTCCCATCAAAGACCTGTGTGCTGTTTGACAGCGAGGAAAAGGCCAGAGGGAAACGATCAGCGCAACGCAGGCGAATGCACGGTTGACATCAAAAGACACTCAAATGATTGTGTTACTTACCCCAGCACTTCAGCTTAGTTAAAAATTCAGCAGAAACGTATAGGTTGTAATTTTCTTTTTAAACCAGAGGCACTGAGTGGCACTCAGTGGCACTGAGTGGCACGGTTATGACGATAACAGCCGCCGTCCAACTAATTTATCCATGAGGAAGTCATGCAGGAAGATTAGACGCCTGCCTTGTTTTAAATTGTTTCTCACTCCTGAACAAAACTCTGAAACTGGAGAAAAATTCACAAGTATTTGCATTTTCCTCAAAAAGAAGCAACAAGAGATAAAATAAACACTGTTATGCAAATAAAGTTCAAAAGCGAACAGCTTCGCCGTTTGGTCAAAACCTTTAAAATGTGATTTAAAGGTGACCTGTTACGCTTCCTTAAACAGGTTTGGATTAATCTAAACAGGTACATCGCATTTTTTGCACAAAATTATTCTTTGATAACGAGATTTTAGTCTGCTCAGTTCTGCCTAATTTGAGCTGTTTCAGGACATTCTGTCACTTTAAATCCAAATAAAATGAGTTGGCCACGCCCCCCAATGCAAAATTTACACTCACATGAAAATGGATTCAATCAAATGGGCAATTATACAACTGTGCATCTTTGAAAAGTATAAGTGGAACCTCCTGCAAAACAAACAAAAATGCAGCAAGTGGTTTCTGGATGGTAGGTCAACAACAAAACACTTGTCTTTTCCAGCAGCCATTGTACAGCGCATACAGCGGTAAAAGGTGCTGCAGCTAAGCTTGGGCTGCAGTTTATTTGGGGAGCGTGAACTCAAAATCAAACTTGTAAAACACAAAGTCTTGTCTGCCTAAAACCCTCAGTTCAGTTAAAATGATTTCTGGTTTGGTTCGAATGCCTATGTGAACGGCCAGCGGACCAGAAACTGCTCCAAAACCAGGAGGTGGACTACAATGCAGGGTATTCTGGGTAAATACAATCCAAACAAACACCCTGACTAGCGTATAAAATGGCTTTCCTGGCTGCTTTCACTTCAAACAAAAGGACAATCCAATATCTGACACTACTCCAATTTTGTTTACATTTTACTTCGTTTTTTTAAAATGGTTTTTGTGTCGTTTCCTTCAGTGGTTCTTGGTGCAGCGCCCCTACAGGCCAGGAGGGGAACAGGCTGAAGGAGAACTGCAGCAGCTGAAAATGTGACAAATGTTGCTATTTGTTGAAATCAAATAAAATGTACTGGACTAGCAGGTATCAAAACATCTTTGAATGATGGATATAAGGATCCTATTGAGTGTTATACTTGTGAAAGATGGAGTCTTCATTGCACACATTCAGACCCCAGTTGGATCTCTCACACTGAAGCCATCAGGACCAAACAAAATGACTTTTTTCTTTCAGTTTAAAGCAGCATTTTTGTGGGGCACGAGAAAACTGGATTGTTGAAGACATATACTTTTGTTCTAGCTTTTTTCAGTCATACTTTTTATGGTTATTGTGCTCCAGACGCCATAACTAAGTGCTATAATCTATAATTTTGAAGGATCTGCCTCCACAGATCCTCAAGCAAGTGAAATGTCTTTGGCCTAGCATTTAACTTCTTTGTTATATAACCGTCAGTATCTTTAAAGAAACTTAAAATAACTGCTTTATTGCATCAGCCTCTTCAGGAATGGGGTGATTCTCGTGCAGCTCAACAATCCTGCTGCAGTAAAATATAAACAGAAAGCATTTTTTTCCTCAACTGGGAATCGGTACAATGCAAAAAGTAACATGTAACCCAACTTTCACAATCTAAGGCTAATAGCAGCAAGGGCCAAAGAGGGCTAAATGTTAGCTGTGCTAACGCTAAACCACTAATTATAAACACTTCACCAACACTGTAATTAATGGAAGCTAATGCTAAAGCGCTAACTTCAGCCCAAATTGTATCTGTCACTGAAATACTGCAACCATTTTTTGACATTCATGTTTGGTGATCTCCTTAAATATTATACTTAACTTGTTTTCTACTGTTCATGTTTTATTTGTTCATGTATGTTTGTTATTTTAAATATAATCATTGAGGGGGAGGAGAAAAAGTGAGAAGAGGAAATGGAATTCGCCCTCGTCAAAATAAGAGTATGAATATTAACGTCTTACTATTTGACGAAAGTCAGTAACTGAAACTTTATTCAACTGAAAGTTTACAAAACAGGCAGGTATATTCGCACTTTTGGACGTATCTGGAAAAATTAAAACAGGGAAAGCTAAGTGTGCTAAATCTTAGCAAAATTTATAAAGCGCTAAACAAAAAATTACTTAGCTGTTTACAAAACAGCAAATAAATTCGTGCTTTAGAATTTATCTGCAACAATTATTTAGGGGAGGCTAAGCAGGCTAAATGTTTTCAAGGTTAGCAAAAGCGCTAAACAAAAATTACTGTTTGCAGAACAGCTATGTAAATTACCACAATAAAATTTGTCCAGAAAAAATAATTTTGTTGAAGCTAAGGACGCTAAATGGCTTTCAAAAATATCAAAAGCGCTAAATAAAACATTAGCTACACTATTAGCGCATTAGCAGTTGTCCCAACCACATGCTAACAGTCATAAACATTTGGTCAGGAAATGAACATCCTGAGTTTAAATGTAGTTTTCAGTAATTTCCCTGCTCAGTTTGTTTCAA